TTATAACTCATCCATTTAAATTATATTAAGCCTTAAAGTTATGCATAATTAAGGGCGTGGCCACTTGAGTGACAGGGGGATTGCCACCGCTGTCCCCACCGTCGAGCTAGGTGGGCGTGGTTTCAGCAACCAGCTCCCGCCTCTTTGCCCATTTTCGATTTTCCGGGAGTGACGCGCTGCCAAGATGGCGATGGCTGGCTCCGCCTACTTTAGGCTTCAAAAACGCTCTTCGGAAACCTACGGGTGACGTCACGGACACTTCGTCCATGTTTTTATACAGTCTATGGTTTCAGCCGGGTGTGTCTCACGCGTCCTGAAAAGTGAAGCTGCGGGGGCTTTGATCGCCCCCTGGTGGCTGACTGCATTACAGGTCATAAACCCCGCCATCTCCATGTAAACGAATGGGACTTGAGTCAAAATAAAAAAATTAATTACATTTACATTTACAATTAGTCATTTAGCAGACACTTTTATCCAAAGCGACGAGGACAATAGGACAATAAAAGCAGTCAAAACTAAAAAAAGAGCAACAATAGTGCAAATGACAAGTCTCGGTTAGCCTAAGCACTTTCAAACTTTCAATACAATTTTCCGAAAGATGGTTTTGGTCATTTAAGGTAGTTGTTATCATGCTGATATATGTTCAATTGTTCATTTTTGTGATAAGTTTGATTTTAGCAAGTAATTTGATGCTATAAAAATGGGGCGTGTCATTATGGTTGATTGGGTCTGCAGGAGTTTGATACCGCGGCTCCACACTACTGCGCAGACTCTGGCTCCAAACGAATCTCTACTGAGCAGACTCTGGCTCCAAATGAATCGACTCGGGCTCCAAACGAATCTCTACTGCGCAGACTCTGGCTCCAAACGAATCTCCACTGTGCAGACTCTGGCTCCAAATGAATCGACTCGGGCTCCAAACGAATCTCTACTGCGCAGACTCTGGGTCCAAACGAATCTCTACTGTGCAGACTCTGGCTCCAAACAAATCTCTACTGCGCAGACTCTGGCTCCAAACGAATCTCTACTGCGCAGACTCGGGCTCCAAACAAATATCTACTGCGCAGACTCTGGCTCCAAATGACGTCATTTACTCAAGATGGCATCGGCCATACTGAGATGCTTTGGCTTCACTTTTCTGTAGTGGAAGGAATAGGAGACGCGTCGTCCATCTTTTTTTACAGTCTATGATTTCAGCGATGACTGATCTGAATGCCTCTGATTGGCCATTGCATTCCTAAGATCAACAGAATCGTGTGTGATTGGTTAAAATGCGCAACACTGTAAAAACACCTAAAATGAAATACAGTCGGCACTTTCTATTAATTTACACTTTGTTAGCAACAGACGTAATAGATTTAATTTGTTTGTCCAGGGGCATTTTTGTTCAATTTAGTGGCATTTTTGCCCCAGACCCGTAGCCAGGGGAAGGCTACGTTAAGACTCGACAGAGTCTCAACATTTCCTGACCCGACCTGATATTTGTATTTTTTATTTGTTTGACAGGGACAGCTGTGCACAAACAGAAACACAGACACGCACACATACGTATATGCATTTATAAAAAAAAAAAAAAGGCTGTGCATCAAGCGCCTGCTGCCATTGTTTTGAATGCGCTCAAAAAAAACCTGGAAACGTCCAAGGAACAAAGACGTCACTTCCTTAAACCGCCGAATATTCGTTGAAATGGTCTATATCAACGTAATAAAAACGTGCCAGCATCACTCAGTGGACATTTCTCTTTGAAACGGCGGCAAAACGTGCAGTAAGGCCTACGTAAAAACGGTGCTGCAGAAAAGTACCCAGAGGTATTTATTTTTATGAGACCAGGTTGGTAATATTTGTGGACACTTGCATGTTATTTGAAATTAAATGAAAATGTATTATAGTTTAAAATTATATTAAATTCAATTAGTTGCACTTGCTTTTTCACCCACTCTAGTATGACTTCAGTACATCACTATATATAATCTATTGTCTTTGAAACATGGTTAAAGTGTACCTTACAAGTACTTTACATGTGCTTTAGTATATTTTTCAACAAATCAAATTGAAGTCTACTTCTTTAAAGAACGACAAACAATAATTAAAAAATAATAGTTTAAAATTTACTTTAAAACGTTTAATTTGACATGAAATTACAGTAATAAAAGTGCACGTTTTATTTCCTTTTATTTCATTAATATTATATTATCTGCAAGTATATATATATTTTTTTTAAATGTTCTTTTAAGATTTGAAGTATACTACATGTGAACATTCAATACAATTAAGCGTACTTGATTCACAAGGAATGGACCACATTTATGATTCTTTGATGGTACTTTCTGTTTTTTTTTAAGTTTGAAACTTGAAAGACATTCATGGCTTTAGAACAACATGAGTTTGAGTAGATTGTGACATAATTTACATTTTTGGGTGAACAATCCCTTTAAAATCCACCAAAACAATGTTAAAGCCGAGCCCCATCCCTTTGTATTTAATTGTTTTTTTTTTTCACTCTGTCACTCTCTGCAGGAGGACCCTGTAGCATTCGAGAGGCAATACAATGAGTCTCCTGTCCAGGCACTTCAAAGAGTCGAGGAGGTTCTGTCCCTCTACTTGCACCTCATCACAACCACAAACACTCCTGTTAACTGGACCTGCGAGCAAGAGTATAGCAGCAATATGCCCCCTACTGTAACACAGCTAACCACTAGCACAGGTGAATGCACACACACACACACACACACACAGCTTCAGGAAAAAAAAACCAGGTACAACAAGTAAAAATGTAGGCAAAATTTAGAAGATTTTCAAACACCCACCCACACACACACACACACACACACACACACACACACACAGCTTCAGGAAAAAAAACCCAGGTACAACAAGTAAAAATGTAGGCAAAATTTAGAAGATTTTCAAACACCCACCCACACACACACACACACACACAATTTCAAATAACAGCAATGATTAAAGCCACATGCTTGTCCTTTGAAAGAGGCTGCAGTGGAATTATTCCGACAAGATCCTCAGGGGTCCTTCAGCGATGATTTCTACAGGCTGGGCTTCATTGTGGTCTGCATCTGTGGAGGATTTCTTATCCTACTCACTGCCTACTGCCTCCTAGAGAGAAAGGTATGCTATTCCTCCCTAAATGTAGACATAAATGGCATATAAGCATGTTTATGTGGGTCATAAACTATTTATGTACACAATATGTTATAATGTGGTAAGTTTCCATAAGGTCAAATGGGCAAAGCAATGACCACTTCTCAGCAGCATTCTATATGTATAACGTTATATGTTCTGGCGCTTTTATTATTAGGTAGTGACAAACATATTTTTGAGTTATCCCAGTTGAAAAAAAAAACAGCATATGCTGGTTAGGTTTTGAAGAATGGCAGCTGGTTTGAGCTGGTTTAAACTGGCCCTTAGTTGGTCATGAGCTGGTAATGGGCTGGTCCTGAGCAGGAGCTTGTTGCTTAGGACCAACTTAAGACCAGCTAAAACCAGCTCATGACTAGCTCATGACCAACTAAGGACCATCTTAAACCATCTCAAACCAGCTGCCATGCTTCAAAACATACCGAACCAGCATATGCTGGTTTTTTCAACAGGGATTTCAAAGGCTTGGCAAGATTCTGTGTATTGCATCACGATGAAAGACCTCCAGCCAGCACAATGTTCTTCACCTCAGTCTGGTATTGATTTGTGAGGTGCTGTGTGTACATTAATGAGGAAAAAAACTTAACTTGAATGATTTTAGCAAATGGCTGCAATATTGTTAAGAGTGAAAATTTTAAGGGGGTCTGAATACTTTCCGTACCCACTGTATATATATATATTTACTCTAGGATTAGCATAGCTTGTCATTAATTTCTCAAGTATATTATATTATGAGTTCTCTAAACAGTTATTTAAAGACCCAATGAGATGGCTTGACAAACGTTTTCTTTAACATCATCCAGTATATGTCCACTAGGAAAGCCATTCATCTCACTGTCAGCTGCTCAGCTGGAGCATGCAGTTTTTTGAGGCAGTCACTTGTGCTGTAAATTCAATGTTTTATGTCCCTAGTCACTTTGGAGGCTCAGAAAAAAGCCATCTACTTGACTGACGCACATGGTCCCATCAGCCCTTTAGCTAATAAAGAATTCTTCTCCATTAACAGCTATTGAAAGCTGTAGCTGTGTAATCTAATAGAATACATATTTTATCATTGTAGATGTTCTGCGAGTGTTGAGTTTTTGTAGGCCTCTTAATAGCATGAAATGAATTTAGAATGGATATTTATTAATGTCTGCTGCCTTGTTAAAAATTAACACTGGAGCCAGAAACAACTTGAAGCTGAAATAAACTGATTTTTCTCATTTCTTACATTCATCATCATTAGGTCACCATAGTACTCACACTTAATCTGTAACTGCCCTTTAAAGAAAATAATGTATGAAGTATAAAATAAAATAAGTATTTGTTGAATATGTGACATCACGTATGCATATAATTTCATCTGTAATTCTGTTTCCTCAACAGAAGCTGCAGCGTCAGCTTCACAGAACAAGAATATCATCAGACTGGGGGTAACTTTGTGTTTTATCCCACTATTATCTTGAACTGTTTTTTTGCTGCATACTGATTTGTACAAGCTTTGACCTAAAATGTCAAAACTATGCATCTAAGCCAAGGAATATCTTAATTTCTCTTACAGATTACAAGTTGTCGAAAACTTTGAAATCCAAGAGGATGCATGTAAGTATATGATTAAATAGGAAATCTTTGATTGAGTTCACAATATCAAAAACGACAGTAAACATAAATGAATAGCCATATACTGTACATCCCTCAATCCTTACAACAGATGTGTGATATTTGGGTTTATATTTGATTTATCAATATTTCTTCCTTGATTGAGGCCGCAGCCTCTTACCTGTCCTGATTTAACTGCTGATGCTTATAATTTCAGCTATTATATTTAGCACACGCTCGGTTTTTCTCCAAAAATAAAGAGATCAGATGTCCTAGGAAGGACATAAAACATGATTGAATGTTGTACACATCAAGAGATGAAAAACTAAAAAAAAGTCAAAAAATTAAAAGTTTTATACGCATATACAAGGTTTCCCAAAGTTTACACTTTTGTAGCAGATTGTCAAACTAATCAGAACTATTAATATCATTCTGATTCCGAACAGTAACTATAACACATATGTGCGCATATTTAATTATTTTATTTCACAGACCAGATGAATGACCGATGGACACATTTTGGCTCACACCTCTCCACTGCCTTCTAACTGATTTGATCTTTCTGGAGACTCACAAGAGAGCATAAACAGTGAAATAGACTGCCTTATTCTTCAGGAAGACCATGACCAGAGGAAACAGATTGAAGATAATCATCTGATTTTTTTCAAGATAATTCATACACCCCTGGACCTTGTACATATGTAAATATGCATATTATTACAAACATCTATTTCTGGACTACAGGAAAAATCTAAGTATTGCATGCTCAGTGATGCTACAGTTATATCAATCCACTATTCACCTACTGTAAGAACTAGAAAAGGGAATAGGGTTGCAAAAAGGTGGAACATTTCCAGTAAATTTCAGAAATATTCCAGAAATTTTGGAAACTTTCCAGGATTTTTTGGGAATATTCCAAGGATTTTTGGAAAGTTTCCGGAGATTTACCGGAAATGTTCCACCCCTTTGCAACCCTAAAAGGAAATCAATCAGTCATTGTTGGTTTCAGTTGTCAGTCTACTAAATGGATGTTATTGTTCAAATGTGAGCAGCATCTTACAGTAAAGGCTTAGTTTGACGATACAGAACAGTTTCTTAATTTCTTTACATTTCCAATATGAAGTAAATATATATTTGACATTTTAAAGAGGTTAAGCTAAAATGTATTGGACAAAGTAAGTAAAGAAATACTTCACCAGAAAAGCACCTTCAACATCACCCTTAGCCCCGTTCACACCGAGGACGATAAATATAAAGATAACGATAAAGATATAGTTCTAAAAATCGCTCTCAATATTAAAGAATAGAGTCCACACCACAACTATAACGATAAAGACAAAGAGAAACAATATCGTTGGAATCACTTTCAAACCGATTTTTCTCCTGAAAATTGACAGCCAATCAGAATCCATCCTGCTGTAACGAGCTCGAGAATTTAAAGCGGCAGACACGCGATATCGTTCGCTGGTGTGGACGCTAATATCGTTATCTTTATAGTTATCGTTCTTGGTGTGAACGGGGCTTAAAAATTGACTTGCCTTCAGGCTGTCCAAGATGCATAAAAGTTTGTTTCTTCATCAGAACAGTTTGGAGAAATGTAGCATCACATCACTTTCTCACCAATCCTCTGTAGTGAATGGGTGCCGTCAGAGTCCAAACAGCTGATTAAAACATCACAATATTTCACAACACAACTCCAGTCTATTAATTAACGTCTTGTTTTAAGTGTTTTAAACTGTAAACCATCACTTCTGGCCAAAATACGAGTCCATAATCCATAATAATGTTTCCTCAAGTGAAAAAATCCATCCCCTGTTGTCCTCTCACATCAAAATCCACCAACATATTTGTTTAGAACTGTTTTGGCTCGTAAATGGTGCTTGATCTGTGTATATTTTCTCTCCTGATTCAGACGAGACGACTTTTTCACTGGAAAGAGCAATATTGTAGATGGAGTAGAAACTCATATTTCAGGCAGAAGCAATGGTTTGAAGTTAAAAAATGTCTTGATGGATTTGTTTCTTACAAACATGTGGCTTTTCACTTCCGAAGACATTTGATGGACTGGAGTGGTGTGGATTATTCTGATGTTTTTATCAGCTGTTTGGACTCTCATTCTGATGGCACCCATTCACTGCAGAGAATCCATTGGTGAGCAACTAATGTAATGCTACATTTCTGCAAATCTGTTCTGATGAAGAAACAAACTAATCTACATCTTGGATGGATTTCATCTTTTGGAGTACTATTCCTTAAGACAACATTGTCTCACATATCTGCCTATTTTCCAAAAAAACAAAAACAAAAAAAGGTTATAATGTTATCTTTTCTTTTTTTTTGTTGACATGCTGATATGAAAATGTTGTTTGAGCTGACAACAGCACATATTACAAAATAGTTTTATATTAGGCAGTTTTGCTAATTTCCCTTTAGTTTCATAGTAAATATGTTGCTAAATGGGAACTTTTATTTGGTTTCCCAGAAAAGCAAAATTCAAGCAGGATGGTATATTATCTTCTATTACAAAACAGAAAAAGACTATTCCAGACCCAAATGTTTCCGGGTGACCCACTTGAGCTTTTCAATTTGCATTTTGTTTCCAAGTTTTTTGTTGGAGTGTGTGTCACCACCATTTGGCTAAAGCATTAACCATTCACAGACTCCTCTCCAAATTAAAGACAAAGAAATGTGGTAGAGATTTTCAAAAGTCTGCTAAAGATTAGAACAAGCCAGTCATCCAAGTAAAAACTTTTATTTAGCAGAAAAACAGGATGCAGCTTCTTGTGAATGAGATCTGAAGGCCTACTTTTTAAGATGCTGATTGGGAGTATTCTATAGCAATTACATTATATACACACAAAGTGGAGATCAAAATTAGAGGACAATCTATAAATACTTGATTTTTTTCTCAAATATTGTTAATCTTAATCTCTAAAATTTGAAGGAGTATTAGCTGTGGGTATATCACTGTTATACGAACATGTTTGACAAAATAACCAAGGCATTCAATAAAAACCTCTATTTTGTGGAAAACACTGATCAAAATTAGAGAACAGTTACCATTGTAGCACGAAAGACTTCAGCACATCTGCGGCCATAGGACATCACTAGTTTAGTTTCTCACACTGCACTGGTGTGATCTTGGTCCGTTCTCCATAGTGCGGTAACTGTAGTAGGTTTCTTAACCATAACTTTGTTGCCAAGGATTTTCAGTTGAGTTTAGATCAAGACTCTGGGCTGGCCATTTCATTATTTCAATGTTTTCAGCTTCAAGGAACTGCTTTACCTGCTTTGCAGTGTGACAGGGGTATAAAATGGCAGGCTGATTGGGAGATGCTTGCATGGAAGCTAAAGGAGGTTCTTCTGATAAACATTTGCATTCACCCTTCTATGTAACTGTGTAAGAGGCTCAACTCCTGCTGCACAAAACATCCCCCAAAGCATGACTCTTCCTCCACCTTTCACTGACTTCTTTACACACTTGGGCTTCAGTCTTTCCCCAGTTTGATGCCAAATAAAATGTTTCCCATCAGACCCAAATAAATTAAACTTGTTTTCATCACTAAAGTGAACTTTGGACCAGTTCTCCTCTGCTCCTCAGCAAAGGTGAGCTTAGTCTTTTGATTCTTTCTGTTGATGAGAGGCTTGGTCACAGAGTGCACTTTTAGTCCAACTTCTTAAATGTGCCGAGACAGATCCATACCCTGTTCATCACTGGCGAGCAATTCCAGCTGCAGTGTTGAACCGATTCCCCATTGAGTATCTCCACATTATCCTGTCCTCTCGTGCATTTGTCTTACATAGACAACCAGCCTTTTTGGGGGACTTGAATTAATTAGTGTCATTGTAAAGCTGCAATATTCGAGAAATCAGATTTGGAATGACCAGTTTCGATTGCGATGACTGAAAGGGTCTTCCCTTTGGCCTTCATCTGGACAACCTCCTTTTGCAGGGATACAGTCACCTTGGAGTGGCCTGCCATATTGCAATCTCAGTGAAAATTTTGAGGAATTCTGCCAGTTAAATAGGGTTTGTCAGATCATTAAGGAAATTAGCACCAGGTGCCAGATTAACACCAATAACTTGGAGGTATCTGTAAGTGTTCTCTAATTTTGATCAGAGTTATTTTTTGAATATCTCATTTAAGGTTTTTATGCTGTGCTTCAGAATACAACTAATTTATGAAATATGCTTAAAAAACTGCCCTTCTACTCTTGTTAGGATAGCTTCAAATACCAGTGACCTTGAAATTTAGGAAATTGTAGGTTGTTCTCTCATTTTGATCTCCTCTTTCTCTCTCTGTGTGTGTATATATATATATATTTACATATACACTACTGTATAAACACTAATGTTATATATATATTTCAATGTTAAATGTTTTGAGAAATGTTAAAAGATACAATTACTGTTAAAAATACTATTAAATCATTATTAATTCTAATCTCCCCATGGGGTTAACTGGCATTAATTTTGTCACAAACAAATAAATGCATGTTAAATATTCCTTGACTTTGCACTTGCACATTGTTGGCTTATATCAATGTTTCTCGCACCAAGGACGAAAAATGAAAAGAATGAAAATTGTGCCAACCAACCAAGTTCTGCAGTTAATTCTCTTTATTTCCCACACTTTTCCTTTCCTCACTCCTGCCAAGGATAGCCTTCATCACAGATTTCTGTGAACATCAAAGTCCTGTATTTGATTTCCCTATTAAGAAACTCTGTTGTTGACCACTTCATATGTTCCTAGTATCAAACAGACTTTTGAAATATTTGGTATGCCAAATATTTTGGACTAACACGGTTTTGTTTCTCAAGCTGCCGAGCAAAATAGAACAAGCACAGAGTGAATGACAGTCTAAATATTTCGTATACATGCATTTTTCATGCAAATCAGCACAAATGACTAGAATGAAACTTAAGATGGGTCTTAAATGTAATTGCATAACACTTAAATGGAATTCCATAATGCTTACCAAGAAATTAAAGGGAAGGTATACAGACTCACAGTTCCCTCTGAAGGTCTACTCAATAAACATGGGTAATATCGTCAACTCTCTCCAGAATATAATAAACCAAGCCAAAACTTTCTGGGATTCTGATTCAATCACATGCGATGAGGTAAGTAACTACCATATATATATAGCCTTTATATATTAATTGTATTTCCACCATATTTTTAACATAAGATCGGGCGCGACCATTTTTACATTGATGAATGTACGAGCTAGGCTTCCGGTGTCAGCCAAAATTTTTTTCAGCTTTGCAAAAACAGTCCATTATACTGCTTAAAGGCGCAATATGTAAGATTTTCGTAATAAAATATCCAAAAACCACTTTCACGGTGTTATGTATTTTATGCAGTTGTGTACTTAGTTCCCAGGGATTTGTAAATCCAGAGAAATTCCAATTTTAAATAATGGCTCGTCCCGGTTCATTGTCGCCTATCAATGACGTAATATCCGTGCTATCGGTTAATAAAGGCCTTCTGAAGCGAATCGATGTGTTTTTGTAAGAAAAAATAGCCATATCGAAAACATTTTTAAACCATAATGTCTAGTTTCTGCTGTTGAATGTGTGCACATGAGAGAGTGGCATTCCAGCGGATGACGTAAGAGTAGCGTAAGCTCTATTTCTTTTTCATAATATGGACATCAATGGCTGCCAACTGTTTGGTTACCAACAAAATATCTTTTGTGTTCAGCGGAAGAAATAATCTTATACAGGTTTGGAACAATTTGAAGGTGAGTAAATCATGACAATTAAAATTTTGGGGTGAACTATCCCTTTAAGTAGAACTTAAATACACTTGATTTCTATTGAAACTTGTATTTAAATATATTTGTAACAAAGACAATAATAAAATATTAAAATGATATGGATGCAAACAAACCACTGGAGCATGAGATGATTTTGTAATTTCTCTGTATAATCAGAATACATGCCTCTATTCTCAACCTAAGCTGTACAGTTTGTTTTTCAGTCACTGAGATGATCCAGCTTGACTGGCAGATCATAAGGAGCCTCTGAGATCTGGACAATTTAATTTTACATTTGATTTACTACCACAGGTGGGGAGCAGGATTCCTCAAAGGCAGTAGCTGGACACACAGTGCCAAAAAAACCCATCTTGGCTGCTAATGGTATGTCATGGACTGTGGGGTTCTGGACACTTTACAGACATCTCACAAAACTCCAGTCCACTGAGAGCTAACATAAAAGCTGAACTTGTGAACATTGTGTTCTCGGTCAGTGGATGTTTCTGTAATCTCCATTCAACCCACACCGAGCTTTTTTGTTTTTATACACCTGAACCTTGTCCTTTGTTGGTTTAGATACTCGCATGAAGTTTATGCAGCCACTAGATCAGTCACTCAATCCTGGTCCTGGAGGTTCAACAACAAAAAAAAAAACATTAAGAATTTTTTTTTTTTCTTCGTGTGTGTACAATAAAAATCAACAGTAATAAAAATGGTTATCAACATTCTTCAAAATATCTTCCTGTAAAATTCATACTGGTTTGGAACAACATGATAAGTAAAGGATGAGAATTTTCATTTATGGGTGAATTATCCCTTTAAGTAGGATTATAAATTCTTTCTAAACACTCAATTCTGATTGGCTGGAAGGTGTGCCTTTAAACACAAGTCTTGCATCACACCACACACAAACAGACAGTTGCTTGCTCACAGAGACAGTCTGTACTACCTTTTAGCCAAGACACATCCCATTTGACATCATGTATACCACTATTATTGTTTATTGCTGAGCTTTTTCATCCCGGGATTGGACAGAAGAGAAGGTTTGGCTTTAGCGGCTCAGATTTGTCAGATCTGAATTACTTCCTGAGGCAAATTCCCAAGGTTTCAGTGCACCTCAAATCAAATTAACCAGTTATACAAGACTACATGCAATATTTCATTAAGCCCCAATGCTCAATTATGGGATTCTGGAATTGATGGACTCTCGATTTGTAATTACAGTGAAGTTGGTAGAGGGCTTAAGACATATTACATTTCACATTATCGGTTGAAAAAAAACATCTAGCAGAGTTTACATGTCTGATTAAAGTTAAAATTATAGTTAATATTACATCTGCACCCTTAAAATGACTTTTCTAAAGGAGTGCGAGTTCATTCAAAAGTGTGCAGAGCTGTCATCTACACTAGACAAATGGTGTCTATTTTGATGTAATATTTTAGTCACACATAATTCCAATAATTTCATTTGTTATTAACCAGTTATTTAGTTGTGCTTTTGATTGTAGTTATTAATATTAATATTTTGGTTTTTATTATTTTAAAATGTGGGAAAAATGTAATTTATTGCAACCAGACAACAGTAGTTTAAAGTGACTTTTTTTAAAAATCATACAGGTTTGGAACAACATTAGGGTGAATAAATTAAGAAAACTGCGTCCCATATGACGCACTCATACACTATGTACTTATGCACTCAACCATGTAGTGTATTAATTATATAAGGTTATTTTGTCATTAATAAGTCTGATAGCCCCTCCCTCTTTGCTACATAATTAAAGCTGCAACAGTTGAGTGCATAAAGTGTGCACTATTCCACACTTCGTTTCTTGGTTAAGTGCATCATCCGGGTATTTAAAGTGCACTTTTTCTTTTTGGAAATTTCAGTGTGAACACACTACTCACATTATTTATACTACAAATCGTCATAGCATAGTGCACAAATAAGCAATTTGGGATGCACCTAGTCCCCCCCCCCCCTCATAATACTTCATCATTCAATGAACTAGATTGTCCATACTAATATCTCCCTCTAGAGGTGATCTACTCTTAATAAAACTTGTTTACCATCCCTTCATAACATCATGAATACAAAGAGAACCAAATTTTACACAGTGTTGTGAAAGTCATTTAATCAGTAGAAGATTTTAGAAAAATCAATTCTTGATTATGAAAAGTTATAAATTCAAAGATGTTTTAGAAAGCTAAACAGCTCAAGTAGACTCTCCCCAAGAAAAAAGAAAAAAAAAAAACTCAATTTTTTTTGGTTGTCTTTTGTTGCTTAAAAATGAAGAAACAGAACAGAAAATGAACCAGTAGTTCACAACACATTGTCCGTCATGAAAAGATGAAGACAGACAAAAACTTTCTTGACTGAAGATCAAACAGATGAAGAAATCTTACAAGAAAAATCAAACAAACAGAAAGTTGCTCAAATACCTTTCAAAAAATGCCAGAATCTCCTTCAAA